ATATTTTCAAAAATTTACGTTGGGAGTCGTTGCGGATACTCGACATCTGTTCATTGAGCATCATAGTGGTCATACGATCCCGCACCCCCTGAAGAGGGACAAACTGACTCTTCCAGGACTGAGCAATCGTTCTAGTGGCGGATAAAAACAGATAGGAAGCCAACTACACTTTCCTCTTTTGACCTTGCTACTACCAGAGGGGTCACTAAAGTTATAAGTCTGCCTCACCACCTGTCTGCGGGACCCTGTTCCCTCACAACTGATATGGTCACCCTCCTCTTCTGTCCTATGCTCCCTCACTCACATCTTCCATCTCTCCCTCTCTTCTGGCACCTTCCGCTCCCATCTAAAACATGCACTACTCACCCCATGAGCCTGAACAACTTAAAGCGGAGTTCCACCCAAAAGTGGAAGCTTTATTAATTAACTGTTAACCGCTTTCCCGCCACCGTATAGCAGACATACTGCAACAGGGCAGCAGGGGTTGCCCAAAATCACGTGTGTGTATATATATACGTGATTTCACATTTCTGGGTAAGGGAAGCACACGCCGCTGTTCGGGGCCTTGGCTTTCAATCACCAGGTTCCGACTGGTGAATACTCGCTGGCACCCGGTGATGGCCGAGTATTCCCGATTGGGGAAGAGAACTGCATAGCAGAGCCATACAAAGCAGTATGCTTACAGTTGACAGCAGAGACACAGCTTACTGTGAAACAGCACAAAGTTAACCCTTTGATCGCCCCACGTGTTAACCTCTTCCTGCCCAGTGCCATTAGTACAGTGTCAGTATTTGTTATTATAAATCATAAACCTTTTTAGTGTCCCAATTTCTAATCCATAATCGCCGTGTGCCTCCAAAAATGCTGTATACCTCCAAAAAATGAAAACGAAACTGGATAGTGTATTATCCTCAGTATAACAGTTATTTAATCTCATATATATACACATATATATAGACAATTGTGCAAACACAAAACATCATGAAAACACGTGAAATGAAATAGTGCACTCCTGTATACACACTCTCCACTGTGCACTCCTGTATACACACTTCACTTGAGCACTCGTGTGTGAGCACTCTCGTGAGCACACCGTGTGCACTCCTGTATACACACTTCTCTGTGAGCACTCCGTGTGCACTCCTGTATACACACTTCTCTGTGAGCACTCTGTGTGCACTCCTGTATACACACTTCTCTGTGAGCACTCCGTGTGCACTCCTGTATACACACTTCTCTGTGAGCACTCCGTGTGCACTCCTGTATACACACTTCTCTGTGAGCACTCCGTGGACACTTCTGTGTGGCTAAATTAAATACCCTTACCCTAAATAAGTGATATAATGGCCTTCTAAGAGAATACTCCAGTGGGTCATCAATCATCAGAACTGTCCCACAGACTTTTTATCAGATGCCAAATTATCCCTTCCTTCCAATCATGCCTTAATATTCCTCAGAGCCATCCATAGGTACTCATTCATAGAAAGAGAAATAGCCATATAGTGTAGTATATCAAATCCAACAAGATCCAGACTTTATTCCATATGCTTACATTAGATAAAACATAAAACCGCATGTCTTCCCAATTCCCATCCACGCGCAGCTTTCTGGAACGCCAAATAGTGATATAACCTCACTTAAGATGGGCCACTCCGCCACTTCCAGTTACCGTGCAACGTCCAACGTCACATCCCTTGACGTATTTCATCACTTCCTGCCTTCCTCATAAGGGGTCAAGTATTTTTTTATTAGCGCTGATCACTGTATTGGTGTCACTGGGGATGTCAGTGACACCAAGTCAGTTTCCCCCAGTGTCAGAATACCCCCTGCAGTCCCACTATACGTTGCTGATTGTCACCATTACTAGTTAATTTAAAAAAAAAAAATTCCAGTAACTATATCACCATTTGTACATGCTATAACTTTCTCATAAACCAATTAATTTACACGTATTGGGATTTTTTTTAGCAAAGACATGTAGCAGGATACATTTTGGCCTAAATTTATGATGTAATTTAATTGTAATGTTTTCTACTGGACATGCTTAATAGCAAAAAGTAAAAAATATGGGTTTTTTTTTCTTTCTCAAAATTGTTGGTCTTTTTTTTTTATAGCACAAAAAAACAAAGTGCACAGGTGATCAAATACCACCGAAAGAAAGCTCTATTCGTGGAGAAATAAAAGACATAAATTTCATGTGGGTGCAGTGTTGCATGACCGCGCAGTTGTCAGTTAAAATAATGCAGTGCCGTAACGCAAAAAATGACCTGGTCGGAGCAAAATCGTGCCCCATGGGCTTAGGTGCCAAATTGCGCCCCATGGGCTTAGGTGCCAAATTGCGCCCCATGGGCTTAGGTGCCAAATTGCGCCCCATGGGCTTAGGTGCCAAATTGCGCCCCATGGGCTTAGGTGCCAAATTGCGCCCCATGGGCTTAGGTGCCAAATTGCGCCCCATGGGCTTTGGTGCCAAAACTCCTGTCAATAGCAATCCTATATGAACACTTATCTAAGCATGCCACTCTACTCTATCACTTGCGAGTCTGGAATGCACCGCTACAAACTCGCACAGGACCCTTTTTGTAATGGCACTCAAACCGCAATGCATTTGAATCACATCTGTATGAACCACCCCAATAGGAACACATAATATCTAGTCTGTCATGCAATTCTGTGAGTTTGAAAACTCATCCAGAATCACATGTGTGAACCAGGATGGGTCCATTCACACCTGGGCATGGCAGAATTGCTGCGATCACAAAACGCAGGTTCAGGTGTCATTATTTCCAATGGCACCTAAAAACGTGTGGTTTTGCTGTTATTATCATGGAGCAAATCGCATTGCGGAAAGCTTGTCACACAGAAGTTGCCTTGCCCTGGGTGCTAACAAGCCACGCTACGCTGGGAAAAAAAAAACAAAAAAACAAAAGCTGGCTCCTAACTTTTTTTTAGCTGGTTCCTAGATTCAAAGCAAATTTTCCGAGCCCTGTTGTAATTGAGCTTTTGTTCCATCTTCTTTTAATATTAGTTAATAATATCCATTTACAGTTAATATTTTCTTGAGCCTCCCTTGTCATATGTTTTAGATCTGTTACTTTGTTTCAAGAGGCCCCTTTATATAAAAAACGAACACTGCGTCTAGGTTTGCATGCTGAGGTGCCATTGAATTGAGATTTACAATGTGCAGTGGATGAGCCTCTTACTTCCCATATAAGGACACACATTATATAAAACCGTGTAGGTGGGGGTAAGGGGGATGGTTCGCTAGCTTGCTTTCAGTTGATTTAAACCATTCACCTATCTCTTCTGGTTTTCTCTCCCTTCTAGATTTCTGTTGATTTAAAAAAATACCAACACACAAGCTGAGGAATGAAGTTCCGATTCCTTTTTATTCTACTGTGAAAACAGTTGAGTACCTTGATTTCATTCAGTTGTTTTGTTCAGCAGTGTATAATGACAACTACAACTGAAAGCAGCAGCAATGTGGCTTAACTCTGTGAATAGAATGTGAGCTATAATCAATATATTGTAAAATATGAAAACATTTGTTTCGTATTATGTTATGGCTACCAAACGTACAGAACATGAACATTGGATGCAACCAGGGATGGGTCAGCCAACTCTTCCCCTGCAGAATCAAGACTAATTAATAAATAGATTTAAACAGATTTTTTTTTTGTCCCTGTCGTTTACAGCCTATTGTACTGCAAAAACATACACCACAACACATTGTGACCGGCTACATTATGGCAGCCAATTCATTTTAAATGGGTCTTAATGGAAGAGAAATCACTCCATTGTGCTGTGTATGTGCATGGCCATTTATTTTGAATGACACCCCAACTCACATACACAGTGCATTGCGTGAATGGGCCCTAAATTGTGTTTCAGAAATGATCATAGACACTCTTATTCTATATCACATATTCATCTCTTTGTATATTTGTTTTAATTCCTCTATAGTCCACATTACTTTATTTTTAAGAACTGGAGAATCTTTCGTATCCATCCCTTCCATGGACCTAAAACTCCCATGCTGTATGGATAGTTTGCATTATGCTTCTAAACGCAGCACAGTGGCTAAATGGTTAGCACTTCTGCCTGGCAGTACTAGGGTTGCTGGTTCGAATCCCAACCACTGCACCACCAGCCTGGAGTTTGCATGTTCTCCCTGTGACTGTGTGGGTTTCCTTCAGGTACTCCGGTTTCCTCCCACACTCCAAAGACATGCTGGTAGGTTTATTGGCTCCTGTCTAAATTGGCCCTAGTATGTGTAGGTATGAATGTGAGTTAGGGACCTTGGATTGTACGCCTCTTGAGGGTTAGGGACTGATGTGAATGTACAATATATGTATGTAAAGCTTGGCGTAAATTGACAGCACTATAGAAGTACTTGAAATAAATAACATTAACAGGCATTCGCAGTCAACTCCGGTACCTTTGCCTACGTAGATAAAAATCCTTGCATTGGACCTGTGAGCAAGCAGTATGAAAAACTGGCTCCTTACTTTTTTTTTTTTTTAGCTGGCTCCAAGACTCAAAGCAAATTTGTTCGGCCCTGCTCTAACTCTTTCTCCTCCTCTGTGCAAAATTAATAAAACTGTTTTGGCTGGAGCTGACCTTTTTATTCAGGCATCTAAGAAAATATATTTCCTTAGAGTCAGAAGTTTATCTCACATGTTGAGTTCTAGTGAATTGCATAAATACTTCTGTATTTCAGAAATGTTAATGGCCATTTTAAATAAGGTGATACATGGTGATTTGTTTACTGGATGTGTCAGCGTTCCTTGGCATTTACAGACTGTGCTCAGTAGTCGCATTATGGGAAGTGCCAGTCAAAATTGATAACCTGACCAGTAAAATAAACGTTTTTTCCATTGAAAATGCTAGGACTAATGTAAGGCTTTGGCGTTAACTGCTGTAGTTCCTGTGTGGATTTTTCTGTATTTGTAATAAAATAGGTCTTCTTTTTTGTGTTTTCCTAACATTGTGCTTTCTGTCAGATGTATCACAAGAGGAGGTTCCGGAGTCCTGAAGAGATTCGTGAATGGAAACGAAGGAGACGGTCCCCAAGCTGGGAACACAATGATAGATATAGACGTCAGGAGAATCGAAGATCACCACACAGGTCACGTTCCAGGGGGTACATAGTGTTTATCTGCGTAATAGATCTTAGATATACAAATGTTTAACATATTAACCACTTCCTGTCTGGCCTATTGTAATATGATGGCCAGGCAGGAGCACTGTTGTTTTAGGGTGGATGTTCTCCCGAGAACGCTCTCCGGCATGATCTGTCATCCACTGTGTCCACCGGACATGGCTGGTGCCATGTGATCGCAGTGACCAGTCACAGCAGATCACATGACCGTTTTACTGAATGGATGGCTTCCATTCATTGTGTACTGTTGTGTTTTTCTGATCACCACCCTAGAGTAGTACAGTGCTAATATAGTAGCACTGTATTGCTCTTGTCACAGTATGTTAAAAATAAAAAAAAATTGTAATAAGGAAAAGAAATTGAACTTTTTTTTTTTATGTACTGTCACCATTCTGTGTCCCTGATCACTGCTACATCAGTTATGTAATGCTGTTGATGCACTGGTGACTGTATGTAAAAGAAGAAAAAAGTGAGAATTTTCTTTTTCATATTTCTTAATTTTCCAAAAAATTGTGATAAAATTTGCCATACCTCTTACTGAATACCTTGTCTAGTTTCCAAAAAGGGTATTTGGGGGGTATTTGTACTGTCCTGGCATTTTTGTGCCTCAAGAAATGAGATAGGCCATCAGTACATCAGGATCAATCGATTTTCATATATATAAAATCATAGATTGTAGACTTTCCTACAGACTAAGTAATATACACTGATTTGGGTTATTTTCACCAAATAAATGTAGCATAATACATTTTGGCCTAAACTGATGAAGAAAAATCATTTGCAAAAGTTTATAATGGAAATGAAAAACACATTTTTTTTGGTCTTTTTTTGTTTAGCAAAAAATAAAAAACCCAGTGGTGATTAAATACCACCAAAAGAAAGCTCTGTGTGAACAAAATGATAAAAATTGGGTACAGTCAGTGTTGCATGACCGCACAACTGTCATTCAAAGCGTGACAGCGCTGAAAGCTGAAAATTGGCCCTGGGGAAGGAAGGAATGTGAAAGTGTCCAGTATTTAAGTGGTTAAGGATGGCGGCTCAGCTTTTCAGTCAGTTGTGACCTTGCGTCTTGAACCCTGAAGCTCCAAAACATGTCATAATGAACTTCCAACAGTAATATGATCTTTTACTGGAAAGTCAGAAGAGCATAGTTTGTTCCTGGATAATCAATAGGAGTTTTTAGCCTGGCATTCAGAAACATCACTGCTTCATATTCCTGGGATGGAATTTGTGAACTTTGAGTATTTGCTTACTGTCCTATAATTGTTCATTTCATTGTGGTAGTTGGCACAACCGCAATACCAACAAAGTACTTATAAAATTTATATTACTTATTAAGTGTTAAGGAATTAAAGGTAAAGAAAAGTCTAAGCAAGCTAGATGGTAAAGGGTATATCAAAATGGGAGAGAGGGCATTTTTACTAAATAATAAATAGGAACATGAGCACAGGAGTGGAGGGAGAGGGTAATGGAGTAGAGAGAAGGCAGATCCCATCCTTGGAATAGTCTCCAGATGATTCTGTTCAAACCATTAATGACTAAGATTAGGACATTCATATTGCAGTCAGGGATTCCATGTATCAAGGAAATTGCCATTGTAGCTCAGTGAAACTAATTACCTTTTAGTATCATGTATAAGCGGTCACTAGGGTAGTTGGAAATGTTTATAAGCGGTCACTAGGGTAGTTGGAAATGTTTTGTGAGTATGAAGTATCATTGTTTGTTTTATTACTTGGTTTGCAAGGTATAGCTACAGATAACCATATATTTGACTAAACCTCTATTAAAGTTGTATAAGGTCCTTCTCCCATTTCAGCAACATTGAGACAAGGTTGGTAAAGGTAACCTGTGAGGATAGAAGTATGGGAGCTGCCAAATGCTGCATTGGTTATTAAAGGTGCTCGGGTGCCGGCTTCACTACCCAGTGAGCCTCTGACCTAGAATAAACAAGCAGGGGGAGAGCCCTGACTTTTTGGACATTCCTGGATGTGCTTATTCTTAGCAGTGGTGGCCTTTATATTTATGCCCCCCACGGTGTCTTTAAAAATTAAACTTGGTCCAGCATCTTTAACCTCTGTAACCCCACTCGTCATCAGTGAGTCCATCAGAGTGATGCACCAGTAGTGAGATGTGGGAGGTAGTGCTGAACTTCACAAGGAGAAGTTAGAATTTGCATACCAGAGCACCTCTGACTCATGAAGATGTTAACTACCTCTGTACTAGGCGCTTACACCCCCTTCCTGCCCAGGACAATTTTCAGCTTTTAGTGCTGTTGCACTTTGATAATTGCATGGTCTGTCTCATTTTTTTTGAGATACATTTTTTTTTTTTTTTCTAAATAATTTTTTTGATTAAGCAAAAAAGATTGATGATTTGGGGGGGGGGGGGGGGGGAGCTTAATTTTTTGTTATAACATTTTCCAAATAAATAATTTGGCTGCACTCATGGGTGCTGAGGCTGCACTGAGAGTCGGGGCACCGATGGGGCTGCACTGAGAGTCGGGGCACCGATGGGGCTGCACTGAGAGTCGGGGCACCGATGGGGCTGCACTGAGAGTCGGGGCACCGATGGGGCTCCACTGAGAGTCGGGGCACTGATGGGGCCGCTGTGCTTGGCCTTTTACCATGATCTGTGATTGGCTGTGTCCAAGGACACAGCTGTCGCAGAGCACGCCTGATGCATGCCCCAGGGGTGTGGGGGTTGTGGGAGGACATCCATGGATTCCCTCCTAGAACTGGACGACCGCGCTGTAGCTGTCTTTTGGCTATAGCACAGTCCGCAAGCAGTTAAAGGTACATACAGGACCTACAGTAGGTGTCTGTCTTTTTGTAAAAGCTAATAAAAATTGGTTACCCAAATAAAATGCAGTCCCTGGATAGCATATTTACCATTTTCGCTTCTAAAAACAAGCCTATTGTCTTTTTTTTTTTTTTCGTCATTTTAGCTATTCAGTTTTCTGTCTTTTAATTGGATTGATATTCCTTTGTAGGTACATATGTGACTAGGTAACTCTTTTTTTAATTTTTTTTTTTTTCCATCCTCAGGAAGGAAACATATTGGAGTAAGTCTTACAAGGGACGATCGAGAGAAGTTAGTGTCACTGGCAGTCTGTCATCTCAGAGTGAAAATTACTTTAGACCATCGTATGCAGTAGGGAAGTCTAAGACTGGAAAACATCATAATGGAGCCTCTCGCAGACGCCGTTCTAGGTCTAGGTCAGGCAGCTACTCCTCCTCGGTGAGTATAGAGGACATGGGTGAGTGACATGCAACTACGAATAAGTCTTTTGTGCATTTTAAAGTTAAAATTCTATTCTTTGTAGCATGTAGTTACTACTAATATGCTTCCATAATTTCATCATGAGGAACAATGCAATTAGGTCATATGTTTTAGCATCTCATGCTGCTATTGAGTGATGGGTAATTGAAAATTGAGAGATATGACTCTTATTTAAATATTGCTCTATAGCAGAATCAGCTCTCAGCACTGCCTTTTGCCTGTACAAAGGAGACAGTTATTCACATTGGCTGAATGTAGTTCCATTACTGCATTAACATGGGCTCTAATGGACTTGGCAAAATCAAACTACTTTTTCTAATTGCTGATCTGTGGTATGTGCAGGTGAGGTTTCTTGGAACTGCTAACTAGTCACTGTATTTTGAGGTTTAACACTTTGTGCAATTTCCTTTTTTTGTTATGTGTACTTTTAGATTTTAAATCTTGTAACCTGTAATGCATGTCAGTCCCAGTATTTACACACACATGTATATTTATCTTTTTTTTAAATAAAGGTTAGTTTGTGTAGATTTTTACTTTTATTCTTTTTAATTCAGATCGGCTTCAGTGTTGAGCCGTTTCTAACCTGCACGTCTCCCTTTGCAATATCCCCTATCATTCTATGTTTTTATATGACTGCACACCTCTCAATCTACACCGACTTGGACCTGTGTCTTCTAATTGTAACCATCTCCCTGGTTTCTAACGGAAATGGACGCTGCACCTTGTGGCTGTTGGGGCTACAGAAGAGCCAACGAAGTGCTAAGAGCAGCCAGAATGTAGAAGATGACAAGGAAGGGCACCTGGTGTGCCGGACTGGAGATCGCATCCTGGAGAGATGTACTGACTCCTCTTCCGTAAAATCTTTAACCCTTCTACTCTCCCCAGCTGTACCCTCTGTTTCTCTCCCTATTCTAGAACTACAGGGTGGACTAATGCATAGGGAGAGCCCGTTGCTCTGTATATGTTTGAAACAGACCATTCCCTTCATTCTTGTACAGAGCAGCAGAGCTCCTGCTACTGAGCAGGAGTATTGGTTATCTTATGCAGTGACTATAATGTTGGGGCTAGTGAAGGTACTGTAGGACTGATGATTAGCCTTCTCTTAGATCTCAGAGTTGCATTAAACTGACAGGGTATCAGTATGCAATTAATGGAATCAGTAGCAGTTGTTTTTTCCTTTCTTATCACCTTTTACATATAGAAAGTTTTTTCCAAAGTCTACTGCTTTTTGGGAGGAAGTAATAGCTTTGTATTATTTCTTGGGTCTTCAGTAGCATGCCAGTTGTTAATAGTTGGTAAAAGCTTCCAGAAGCAGTACATAGTAATGGAATAGGTGCACTCTGGAAATCTGCCTAGCAGTGAAGAAGGTGACTGGTCTGCTGCAGCACTTAATTTTCACTACTTTGTTTAAAGTCTATAATTGATTTATGTCTTCCAGATGAAATAGTGGGAAATCTGGGAGAGGGAACATTTGGTAAAGTGGTAGAGTGCCTGGACCGTGACAGGTTTGTACAGATAGATGTTAGACTTTTCACTGCCTATTCTCTTTGGCAATTCTGCTGAATGCGTCTTTGTATTTCTCTCAGAGGCAAAACTCCCGTGGCTCTGAAAATAATACGTAATGTGAAAAAATACAGGGAGGCAGCCTTGCTAGAGATTAATGTCTTAAAGAAGATTCGGGAGCAAGACCAAGAGAATAAATAGTAAGAATTTTTTCTCCCCTCTTGTGAAGACCCTTTGAATTTAATAAATCTGCTTAGAATAATTCATAATGCTCTGTTTATTAGTTTAGCCTTCCAAACTACTTTAGCCTCTTGTGCCTGAGGAGGTTAAAACAAGCTTGGTTATTTTTTATCACTCGGATCTTTGCTTTACTGTAAAAGTGGTCTGGGTAGTTTTATCGCCACCTGATCATGACTCACAGGTATCAAACACCCCAGTGTCTCCAAAAAAAGTGCCTCTCACCTGCCCAGTGCTATCACATAGAAGTTTGTTGCCCCCTCTATGGGTAGCAATAATGTTAAGTGAAAAAAGTGTTTATAAAAATATCACAAAAAAAAAACTAAAAACACTTCTCATTGTGTGCACACAAATGCACATTCATGCAAATGATTGCGCAAAACCCCACTTGCCCTCGAGGATTTACCTCCCTTCCTGACCAGGCCATTTTTTTGAGATACAACACTGTGTGTTACGTTAATTGACAATTACGCGGTCATGCAACACTGCACCCAAATGAAATTTGTCCTTTTTTCCCCACAAATAGAGCTTTATTTCGGTGGTATTTTATCGCCTGTGTTTTTTTTTTTTTTTTTTTTTTGTTTTTTCTCTTTGGAATGTAAACAAAAAAAGACCAGCTGCAATCCATGTTAACTCAGGTACAAGGGGTATGCAGTGCATTATAAGGAAACATTTTTTTGGCCATAAATCTGAAGATGCACTAAACTGCAAGATCCATCTCAAACCCAAGGAACCTCCAAACCCAGACCGCATCCGTTCTCTGTTTTTAGGTGATTAATTCAAATTATAGTTGAATATTTTCACTATAGTTTAGCAGCTATGATCTTTAAAGCTGTAGTGAAGTCTGCTTTTTTTAATTTTTTTTTTTTTTTTTGTACCTACACATAGGAGTTATTCACATTTGTAGCAAGCGCACTGCGGTCTGAATTGAGGACACAGTTTGCCTTCAATTCAGAGTTAGAGCATGAGAAATATTTGGTGCACTAAGAAGAAAAAGACTAAATGTTTAATGTGTAAATTCCCTAAAGTCCAAAGGTGGTTAAGGGATGATCCAACAATGCTTGATTCAGTGGCAGCCGATTAAAAAAGAGCTAGAAGAGACTGTGTGACTTATAAAAGTGAGAGAAGAAGCGCCATCTAAGTGCAGCAATATAAGCAAATAATTTATTTCCACAAAATTGGCAACTCACAATAGTAGTAGTCAAATGAGCGCTGGTCAAACTGGTGTCAACCGCTGTGCAGCTCCTGGCCTGTCCCGCTGCAAGCATGTCTCCCAAAGCACTCTCCTTGGCTGTGCTGGTGGTTCCCAGTACTTCCTGGTCGGTGTGGATCCTCAGGGCAGACTGGAGTGATGTCAGCTCCAGATACTACAGCAGCAGTAGGCATGGCACGCATTCCGGTCATATGACCTGCAGTGGGACAGGCCAGGAGCTGCACAGCGGTTGACACCAGTTTGACAAGCGCTTATTTGACTACTACTATTGTGAGTTGCCAATTTTGTTGAAGTAAATTATTTGCTTATATTGCTGCACTTAGTGCTGCTTTTCTCACTTTTATGCTTCAATTCAGAGTTCTATGCCAGGATTGTGCTCCCATCCGCATGCACGGCCGGAGCGCATGAACCCGAAAGGAAGACAAGGTGAAGACGGAAGCCCTGGCATGGGTGACAGCACGTCGCTGGAGAGATCCATTTGACAGGCAAATGTCATAATGTGCTAGTATGTGGTGCACATTATGACATTAACCTGAAGGAGGACTTTTTTTTTTTTTTAAGCAAACTTTACTACTTCTTTAACTAGTTGCTGACCGCAGGTAGCCGACCGACGTCTGCATTGTGGCTGGCCAGTCTTGGGAGGCCGTCATGAGTCCTCTCAGAACACGCTCTCCTGCGCGCACCCGGCAAGCTGCGTGATTGCTGTGTCCTACAAACACAGCTGATCACGTGATGTGGTAAAAGGCCAAACACAGCGGCCTTTTACCATGTGATCAGCCGTGTCCAATGACATGCTGATCACCAGGAAATGCAATTGCCGGTTCTCGGCTGCACTTTCCTCATGCTGTCAGAGCGTGAGGAAAGTACTGCTGAGAATCGGCAGTTGTCAAAGCTGGGATCGGCACCGATCATCAGGGCACTGATGATCGGTGCCCAGCAGTGCCACCCTCCAGTTCGCCCACAAGTGCCCAGCAGTGCCTCCCACCTGTGCCTATCAGTGCCGCCTCATCAATGCACAGTAGTGAAGGAGAAAAATTATCTGTTTGCAAAATTTTATAATAGAAACAAAGAAACTTTTTTTTTTTTTCTTATTTTTTGCTCTTTTTTTGTTTATAGCGCAAAAAGTAAAACACCCAGCTGCAAGTAATTACCACCAAAAGAAAGCTCTATTTGTGAGAAATAAAATTATAAAAATGTCATATGGGTATAATGTTGCATGACCGTGCAATTGTCATTCAAAGTACGACACTGCTGAAAGCTGAAAATTGGCCTGATAAAATTTAAAGTAATCCCAAATTGTTTGCAAAGGTGGCATCACACTTTGCATTAAGTAACTTGCCTTCTGAAGTGATATTCTAAAATGACAATCCTAGTTTGTAGGCAGCTTTATCAATTACTGCATGAAATGACCTGATTTGAATGTTAATGCATTGCTTAACTTTTGTCTCTTTGCTCCCAGCATGTGCGTGTTAATGCGAGATTGGTTTGAATATCATGGACATATGTGCATTGCGTTTGAGCTGCTGGGAAAAAGCACATTTGATTTCCAGAAAGAGAACGACTTTCTGCCATATCCACTTTCTCAAATTCGTCACATAGCCTACCAGGTTTGCAACGCAGTGAAATGTAAGTTTAATAAACACTTGTTGGGAAGTATTTTAATGTGAGTTGATTGCTTGTGTGATATGTTTTTATAAACCTGAGCTGGCCTATAACATTTGAGTACGTGTTTTTTAGTCATGTTTTGTTTTTACCTATTTGTATATAGGGAAAAAGACAAAATGTGAATTCCTTTATTTTCTGTTAAAATGAAAATTCCAAGGCTGTGCACACAGTCCAAAAGGATCCCTTTTTTAAAAAAGTGGATAACTCAAAGTGATCCCAATTTTTTGCCACTTTTAATTAAAAAAAAAAAAAAAAAAAAAAAAACGATTAAAACATGGAGCTTGGTAATGGTGCATTAGATACCAACCATACAGGTTGTACACAGAGCATGGATGGCAGTGAAGAGATAATGTACAGTCACATTAAGTGGGCACATACAGATGAACGGGTTAATATGTAAATGTGCAGGATAGGGGAGTTGAAAGGTTAACATACAAGTCACTGAAGAGTCTCAAAATCAGATGTGTAGGAGTGGAGAGGGGTGGGGAAGGTTGAAGAATAACTTGCATCTGCTTCTGCCCATTCATTCATTAGCTCTTTTCCCTTCCCTTCCATTCCCCCTTTGTAAGAGGAAGAGGTAGGCTGAGATATGTTTATACACCACATGGTTTATATCTCATTACGATGATTGGTCTCTATATGAGTGATGCCAAATTACAGGTCCACTCAGTTTGGCTATGTATACAGAGTCTGTGACCCAAGCTGTCGTTGGACAACTAAGTTCACAGGAATTAGCAGGTGCGCTGGCCACATGATGGTTATTTCAGCAGTAGTGTTTAAAAATCCACCATTTCACTATTTAAAGGTGTACAACAACAGTGTAGTGGCTAATCATTTTCACTTGCAAGACCATGCTAGAATGCATATATGATGGTCAAAGGAGTAAAACACATTTATTGACAGCACAACGATATTTGATATTTCTCATCTTTAAAAGATTATTAAAGAAAAGTTATGCAGCCCTTGCTTTTGTTGATTCATCAAAAATGTAAAAAAATGCAAAAAGCCTACTTTTGGCTTAAAAAAAGAAAAAAGAGCAAACAAATGATTCTGTCTTTTAATATGCCCATACGTTATTGTAATGAACATAATATACACCATTTATATGTGAAAATTATAGGAGCAGAGCAATGGCTATACACACACATCTGGAGTTTCTTTTAAGGCCTCATGCACACAGGACATTAAAAAAAAAAAAAAAAAAACTCCTAGAAGCTGCCCTCATAGCAGCGTTTTTGCTGAAAAAATGCCTTTTCATTTGTAAAAGTTTACAAGCGCCAAGCATTTGGCATTCATTTCATTGGACCAGAGTGATGATTTATTTCAGCCATTGAAATTAATTAATGCTCACACGCTAAACGCACCTAGTGTTTATTGTTTAGCCACGTCAAGCTTTTTTTCTGCCAAAACGCTGCTGCTCCTGAATTCACTGGCCCTGGGTTTTTTTCCCCCTGCTGATAATCACTACTGCTACTAAAAGCTTCTAAAGGTCTGTGTGCATGGATACATAGGATAACATTGGGGACCGTTTGGAAGCAGTAAAAAAAAAAAATGCCTGACGCCCATAAAAGTGGCTGCAAAAATGTCCTGTATGCATGAGGCCTAACAGTGAAAAGCTTGCAAGTCCCTTTTTATGTTGTGAATCACAATTATGTTCCACACAAATCCAAAAACATACACTGAAAGTATGTACTGAAGGTACATTTATAAACAGGTTTGTAGACAAGTGGTTTAAATCAAGCTTACAGCTGCTGCTGCAAACAGTCAGTGAATGGTTTTCCAATAAAACTGATCTGGGCAGCTCTAGATCCATCTCCGTCACTTTTCTGGGGCTCTGAAAGTGCGATCCCTGATCCTTCCTGTGACTAATGACCCCAGAAGCAACATGTATTCTTCCATAGTCACACCTGTCATTCCTTAATTTAGGATCTCTATAAAGACTACCTGTGGTGTGAACAAACCCTTAGAACAATTCCATTGCTCATCTTGGAACAGAAATTCAATTTGCTTAGCTATGTTTGAAAAGTTGTATGATGTGGCTTTTTTTTTTTTAACTTTGCAGTTCTCCATGACAACAAGCTGACTCACACAGACCTGAAACCAGAGAATATACTGTTTGTCAGTTCAGAATTTAACATTGCTTACAATGAGGATAAGGTGAGATGCCTTGTTTGTACACAAATATTCATCAAGACCCTATTCACTCTTGGGAATGTCATTGACCATGGAGAAACAAAATGCAGAAATATGAATGGTGACTATTGACTACAATGGCAGAGACTTTGTTTCATATGAATTGAAGGATTGTGTAGATGGGTGGTCCTGTTGAATGCAACCTTTTCCATTTAAATGTAATACTGATCAAACATATGCATTAAAATGTGAAACGCACAAGAAAGGGCTGCTCTTAACCATCAAATCCAACACACCTTCAGGGGGTTGGACAAAAATATGGAAAAATATGAAACTGATGACATGTTTAGCTTTAAAAATGGAAGTGATGTAACATTCTTTTGCGTCCTCTGTGTGATAAAACACTTGGCTAACAAGTGGGAAGCCTCCCTTTTGTCATTCACTGGATGCGCTGCTAGTATGACGGAGTCATGTCAGCGTTTACTCGGCTTCAAAGAGGGCAAATAGTTGGTGCCTGCTTAGCTGGTAGCTCTGTGACTGAAGTTGCCAATTTATTATCAGTGTCACGAGGTACAGTTTCAAATGTTACAATGACATATATCGTTTCTGGAAAAACATTGTCTGATAAGCATAAGTGTGATTGACACAGCTGACCTAAAAAGACAAATGGTCATTGCGTGGAATTATGACCTGGAATTAGAAAGCTGCTGCTGCTGCAAAAAGTGACTGCAGAGCTCTGACTCAGTCTTTGAAAGCCCGTGTCCACAGAAACTGTGCACAGGGAGCAAAACATTAATTTGCGAGGTGCAATTGCCAAACCACTAGTGACAGATTCAAATGCTCAGAAGAGAAGAGAGTGGTACAGCACCCATAAATCATGGACTATCGATTAATGGAAGACTGCAATATGGTCTGATGAATCACATCCCCCTTCATGGGATTTTAAAGGCAACCATAAACACTCAAAATAAAAGTATAAAAACATTTTTTATTATCCATATTATTGTAAAAAAAAAAGGGTTGATGAACATTAAAACAATGTCATCAGAAACCAAATATCTTGGGGTATCCAAAGCTGACCAACTAACAATCAAGATTCAACTGGTTGCAATGTGTGGACATGTTTTGTGCATGTGTTAGCTGGGGATCATCTGGAAAATTATGTACTAAAATGCAACACGTTTTGTGGAGTATATGGATGTGTGAATTAATGTATACTTTACACTACCAGATATTTAGTTTATGATGACAAATGTAGTTCAACCCTTTTTTCACAATAATATGGATAATAAAATGTTTTTATACTTATAATATTTTGAGTGTTTATGGTTGCTTTTAAAATCCCATGAAGGGGGTTTTCAACTGATGTAATTAGGGATGTTGGCAGCCACAGCCTCAGCCTCATAAACCTTTTTCGTTTCAATATGGTCTGATGAATCGAGCTTCACACTGTTCCCAACCACCGGACGTGTTTAGATGTGGCGAACACCACCCCAAGCTTATGACCAGGACTGTCTTATGCCAACGGTAAAGCATGGTGCCGGCGCAGTCATGGTTTGGGCAGCCATATCTTGGTATTCTGAAGGCCCCATTGTCACCTTGAAAAGTAGTGTCACTGCCAGTGACTGTGTATAGAAGTACAGCACCCTTATAACATGTTAACCCCTTCTTGCTGCCGCCTCATGGCCCTTTAACTGGATTGAAATGCCAGGTGGTGGAAGTGGGCATTGCAGTCTTGTGATTGGCTGTCACTGTGGTCACATGATCAGAAAGCTCCCGATTGCAAGTATGTCTCAGGAGCTTTCTGTTACAGGTTAGTTGCTGTGCTGTGAGTGTGCTCTCAGCACAGTAAATTGTTTACCAATAGATGCATATATGTGGCCGCTGAATGTTAAAGCTCAGCTGCCAAGAGGCCACATATATGCGCCACATAGGAAGGTAGAGGTTAAGTAGACATTCATGTATTTGGATAAAAATGTTTAATGCGAATCCACATTATTTCCTTATGTTCTGGCAGAAGTGTGAAGAGAAACATATAAAAAATTCCAGCATCCGTCTTGTAGATTTTGGAAGCGCCACATTTGATCACGAATACCATACTACGATTGTGGCTACACGCCACTATCGCCCTCCTGAGGTTATTTTGGGTGAGTACCATCTTCATATGCCAGAGGTAATCGCCATTTCCACTAGATTAGACCCAAGATAACAATGACCAGAGACATTGCCCAAGCACTGTCAAATTCTGAAAAAGGTGGTGGCTGATACAGCTTTAAGTGCTTCTTGTAGCTCATACACTTTTACTTGATTATGTGCAATAAATAATTAGTGGTGGCATACTGGACAATTAAGGCAGCTGGTAAAACTCACAGCAGCATTCAGATTAAAATTTACATCAGTGGATAAAGCTGTGGCTGAAATTACAGAGCTTGCTGCCAGCAATCCTTTGCCTATACAGTATGTAAAACTGTGTCTTAAATGCTGCAGTGATTGTCAAATCAGGAGGTTTAGTGACTTGCTAACATTTGTTGCACCTAAATAATAGCATGAGTATCAGTCTGATCTGGGGAGAATTGCACAATTCAAGAATCCATGCAATCATGATTCATTTTTAAAAAGTTTTCAGTAGGTGTGTAAAGTCAACACTTGGGCCCCACAAAATGGGGAGGCAGGTGGGCCCTTGGGAAGGGGTGGTCACCCAGATTGAGAATCTATATTTAGACAGACAAGAGCACCAAACAAATGTATGTGTCAAATCTTTTAATGATAAAATCGATTCATGGCAAGGAGATAGAAAATGGCCAACGTGCTTTATGAACCAGGCATTTTGTGGACCCCTTCATCGAGGCTTAAAAAGCTTTAATGGACTCAAAAGTGCTCTGGCAGACTGATCTGTATTTAGATGTATAAAAATAATTTTTGAGGCAGTTGGTGCACTTGCCATCTGGCTTTTAACATTTTGACACTGACATAGGTAAAACTGCCTCTTTGTATAGTTATACAGTATTGTATACATTACCCTTTTTTTTTTTTAATTTTAAGAGCTGGGCTGGTCTCAGCCATGTGACGTGTGGAGCATAGGATGTATCCTGTTCGAATATTACACTGGCTTCACTCTCTTCCAGGTAAGTTACTAATTTGACTAATCACAAATGTTTGTGTTCAGGAGATGCTGGGGAATTGTAAGAAGCCCCAAAATCTTGGTCTGTCACATACTCTGGAAAAAACAGGCTGTATTGTGCAAGTAGGAGAGATATACTGTAGTCTTGTAGGATAGCCTGTGTATTTTGCGTTTGGTTGTCCTGGAATTCTCATCACTAAAATGCGGTAGACACTACACTCTGACACAACACCTGAATAAGGGCTCTTACTACCTGTAAAGTGGCAGCAACAGTGTTTATACTGTATACCTTCCTCTCCTCTTTCACTGATGTCTCTCCTTCCAGAGAAGGTGAGTGTGATGTAGAGGCGGTCCCAGAGATCCTAAAAATAATATAATTCCAGGTATTCCATGTTCTCCCTTTCTTGCAGATGAAACATTATTATACAGGATTTATATAGCGCCAACAGTTTGCTCAGCGCTTTACAATAAAACGGGAGACAATACAGTTCAATACAAGAGAGTTAGGAGGGCCCCGCTTCTTGGAGCTTACAATCTAAGACTTCAGATGGAATGGGCCAGTGGTGGTGACAGGGCCCTGGGGATAAGGGAGTCTGGTTTGAGGGCAGAAAATGCTGACATGCTTGCTCCTTACCTCTAGTACCACCAGGTGCAGTTTGCACAGCTAAGCCCTAATGATTCTCTCTTTGGGAACTTTGGTGGATGCTCTGCATCACTCTGTTCTCAAATGGTATGGCACATCTTGGCTGTTGCCTAGCATCATGGACCTTTTTATCTACAGCCTCTTTGAGTCTGTGTACATGAGATGGTTCCTACTTAGTAATGTGAATTCTTCATCCTCCTTTACAAAGGACAACTATTTTTTTGTGTGGATGCATTGAACTGTAATGAAAAAGAAAATACATATGCTGACGTTTATGATTTTCTTTGAAAAATAGGAATTTAGACTTGCCTCGAAATTCCTCATCTTGGAGTACTGTACACAAAGACTATGGGTTATATGCTGCTACCTTCATATGACTGGACAGTAGCTAAAAATTTTACTAGGGCTGCCCTTAGAGTGTATCGATGTAATTCCGCCCACTCTTTTTTAGCAACAACAGGGAGTGGTCTCAAGAAAGAGGGGAGAGGCCTATCTCCATTACTGTTATCCAATATGATTGGTAAGGTCGAATTCCTGTTGTTATCCTACCGTACAGATCATAAGACTTGTATTCATAGATCACGGGACATACCCCATAGACAATAGACCATGGGATGTACCCAAGCAATAAAAATGAGGGGAGGGCAACTGTGAACACCCCCCTGGTAGAATGTGGAAAATGTGGGAAGGAGGACTAGGTGGCAGCCTTGCAATTCCTGAATGCCTGATGTTGAAAAGCCCAGGAGTCACCCATGGGAAGGAAGGAACCTTTTCCTTAATAGGTATAGGCCCTGGAAATTAGTTTTCTGATCCTCCTGGCAATAGTTGAATTTAAAGCAGGGTGCCCTCTATGAGGACCTCTAGATAGAATAAAAAGAGACTGAAAAAAGAAAATGTAACTATGGTTGTCAAGTAGACCTTAACCCTAACCACATCCAAACAATTTAAATGTAATTTCCTTGTCATATTTTCGAGCAGAGGAAGGGTAAGGTTTTGGTCTTGTCAATCAAGAAAAATCTCTTTACAAAAGAGTGGCTAACTCAGACACACACCTAACAGATGTGATGGCAACCATACCAGGTTCAGATCCCAAGGTGACACAGGGAGGTTGAATTGGGGGAATTAAATAAGCAACTCCCTGTAGAAAGTCTTAGTAAGAAATTCTGAGGCAAGAGGTTTCTGGAAGAGGATGGATAAGACCGAAACCTGTCCCTTGAGGGTACTCAAGGCTAGATGCTGGTTAAGACCAGACTGAAGAAGGCCAAAATATGAGAGATGAAGTATTCTCTTGAGTTAAGCCTTTAGTCTTCGCACCATGCAAAGACTGCTTTCAGTGTTCAGTGGCATATTTTGTGGGAGTTAGAATTCCTTGCTATGAATAAGGTGGGAATAGCAGTCAGGTACCCCCTATCCTTTAGGGCTAGGGTTTCAACAGCCCTAAAGTAGGACAGAGTAGGAACAGGGGTCTTTGGGCCAGTAAGTCTCGTCTGTTTGGAAGAAGCCAAGGCTTGTCGGAGAGAAGTCTGGTTATGCCTATTTTTTTCTGGTCCAATTTGGTGCAATAAGAATAACCAGGACCCTTTCTTCTTCTATCTTGCGCAGCAGTTGAGGTAGGATCTTCATGAGATAGAAGGCATGAACCAGTTGGTATTGAGTCAAAGGAATTACCACAATAACTACTGGGAATGCTAAAGGATCATTGGTCTTGGCCACACATTTGTTCAGCTTTTTGTTGAACCTGGAGACCAGGATGTGCATATCTAGTTTTCCCCACCTTTGACAAATTTTGAAAGATCTGTGGGTCAAGAGAACACTTTCCTGGGTCTAGACATTGATGGCTTCGGAAGTCTGCTATATGTCCACTCTGGAAATGTGGATGTTCAGGAGAGCTGGAATGTGAGATTCTGCCCATGAAAGTATTGGGTATACTATAGCTCATGCCTATGCAAGGGCCATGGTTTCCCGTATGGGGTTGCAGAGGTGTTCCGTGCAGGCAGTCCCATTCACGCCAGTTGGGATGCAGCAGCGCAATCACAGCTGTGGCTTCCAATTTGACAGTTGTGCAGGTGCATTGCTCCAAATGCACACTATCTTGATAGTGTCTCTGTACAAGGTTCTTCTGGGCCATTATCATTGTGCTTTTCTCAGTTCTCGCTTGGGCTCTGGAAGGGAGAATTTTCTTCTCTGCAAGGAAAAACCTTTGTTTAGGATATGTCCAGGACCAGACTCAAGTATTCCTGGTGTGGAGAAGCCTGGAGAGCAGATTTTTTTTTTTTTCTTTCTTTTTTTAGTAATTAGTCAAATTGCAGGTTGTATAGCCTGTGACCTAGATGCCCTGTGTTCTGAGAAGGACAGGGAGAGGTGCTTAGATATTTGTGAACGTTTTGGAAGCCGAGGATAGACCAAAGGAGGTGTGACAAGGTAGATGTGATTGCCTGCCACTGAAGCGCAGAAATCGCTGATGACGTGGATAAATAGAAACATGCAGATTGGTGTCTTGGATGTCTGTGGGTTGCCATGTATTCCGCTTTTCTCAGAAAGGCAATTACCAACCTTGTAGATTGCATTTGATATTTTGGAATTTGAAGGTATTTGTTGGGGGATTTTAAGTCTGGAATAGGATAAATACCCCCATTGGCCTTGGTACCTTGAACAGGTTTGAATAAAATCCTTTGAACCTGTCTTGTGGAGGTACTGGCACAACTACTTCCTGGGACCAGATATGGTTCAGGACATCCTGCAAATCTGGCTGTCCTTGGCAGTTTTTGTTGATTTGAATGATGTAAGCCTTGAAGGGGGCAGAGTTTTGAAATGTTATATTGTACTCCTTTGCAACCATGGATTAAACCCACATATCTGGGATGTTTGTGACCCGGAGAGAGGCACACTGTAACAGATATCCATCCACTCTTAGGACTGAGGGCGCCTCTTTTTCCACTGGATAGAGTTTAGCAAGGATTTTGGGGGGAGTAAAAATCTGGAGTGATTTAACACAGGAAATGTTTAAATAGCAGTTCTCCTTGTACCAAAAGGTGCATGGAGAGATGGAGAAGAATCGAGCTGAACAATGCCAAGGATTTTGTGGATGGCAGCAGTGCGCTTTTCCGCATTAGCAAACTTGCTGCTTGTAGGTCTCTTAAATATAGTGGCATGGGGGGGGGGGGGGAATCTGCTGCAGCTTCCTCCAATACTGCTTCTGTCCTCCATCCATTGTTTGCCTTTGTCTAGGGCAGGCATATTGGCATATCTGGATCCATAGAAAAATGGAAGTAGGAGTAGCAGAGAGGCGTTTGAGCCATGGGCAAAGAGAGCTGTATTAAAACAGTTACTTGTCCAAGGAATTGTGTCATGGATGTAGAAAATTCAGCTTTTGTCCAGGAGGCCATTTTTTGCATGCCTGAAATAGAGCTAATGCTAGGATCTGTGTTAAAGTCAGTGGTTATTCAGTGGCTTCCGTTTGCCTGGTCTCTTCCATAGCTGTATTTGGGGGAGCCTAAAATGCAGGATCTGGGAATACTTTGCCTGTGTTATATACAGATTGGGCGGCCGTCAATTATCAGTATCTAACATACGGAGGAATGCTGGGAACGTTAAAATTCTGTGTTGTGGTTCTGGACGAGGGTAGATCCTATTGCTCATCTACCTCTCCTATCCACCTAATGTTCTCTGGCAACCCAATATTTTTTCTTAATAGATGAGGCACAGAATGAGCAACCTCACCCCAACCCCCAAAATCACTATGAGATGGGGGAAGTCACAGTAGCAATTCCCCGAACATCAAAGCTTGTGAAGCATTTGGCTCGGAATACAACTAAAAATTTTAGCAGCCCTCCAGATATTGGATGCTATTCATTAGCAGTAATGAAATGGGTACAAGCTAACTTCTAAAAGTCTCTTTTCCTGGAGTTTCACTATAATCTCTTCCCTGTCCTAAAATGCTTTTAAAACCTTCAGTGTACGCATGTTTGACTCTTAGTATTAGACTGACCAACCAATGTAATCAAGAGTTAACCAGCTGTGGACACTGGGCATACCACAAAGGCCCAAAATCTTAATTGAAGTTTTTAAACTGTAAACTTTTTTTTGGTCTATATGGGTGAGGGAGCTGAAGTGGTTAAATGAACCGGTCAAAACTGCATTAATGCAAGAAATTGAACATTTCCTGCTCTGCCAACTTCATCTAACAGCTTCTAAGCCATCATAACCATATTAAACATCTGGGATTAACAGTTCATTTTCTCTGCTCTTTCTTTTTCTTTAGACCCATAACAACCTGGAACACTTGGTAATGATGGAAAGAATTCTTGGGCAATTACCTCGACGTATGGTGTACAAAACCAAGTAAGAAAATGCTTATTTGCTACTTAATATATCAGATTTCACTGGTATGACTCAACACATTTGATAATAAGCAAGTAGGAAAGAGATGATCTTTAGATAAATGCCTGAACCTGGCAATTGTATCCAGTTTACTCAAGTGGACTTAAAATAGTATTTTCATCCAGGTTTTGCAAAGAAGTAGTAGAGTAGATGCATGTATCATCTAGACACATGCCTGAATTTTGTCACAGGTCAGGTCTGTGATTTCAGGCTTCAAAATTGCAGTGCAACATCATTTTAAATGCAGAGCTGCTTAATCCAGCATGAGTAGATCCTGCATAGAAGACCTAATGACTACAGCTCACCATGTTTACATGCATTAAGCTTGGGTAATAGCATCAGCAGAATACCAGCACCTCATACACAGAGGAAGCCAGTCCAAACTGTGATCCCAATTGTATCAAAACTGTAACTGAAATAATGCCTGTGACCTTTTTAAAAGATTTGTTAAGGGTAATTCATTTAGCCCATTGGGTTATACAGCCTTTAACCACTTCAATACCGGGCACTTTCACCCCCTTCCTGCCCAGGCCAATTTTCAGCTTAAAGCGCTGTCGCACTTTGACAATTGCGCGGTCATACAAAACTGTACCCATATGAAAGTTTTATCATTTTGTGAGCCGGATAGAGCTTTTTTTAGGTGGCATTTTAATCACCACTGTTTTGTTTTAAATATTTTGCTAAACAAACAAAAAAAGACAGGACATTTTGAAAAAAAAAAAAGTTTTAGTTTCTGTTATAAGATTTTGCCTGCACTGATGGGCACTGGTTGGGGCTGCACTGATAATCAGGAAACTGAAGATCAGTGCTCTGATTATCAGTGTAAATGTGTCCTGTTTAGATTGCTGGTTATTGGTGCTCCTCACACAGTGACCGCGTGAGGGAAAAAGTTCCGATAACTGGCACTTGTTTGCATTGCATCAGCTGTGATTGGACACAACTGATCACATGGTAAAGGGCCACTGCGATTGGCCCTTTTACCTTGATCTTTGTCTACAGACAACAAGAGAGCTGCGCTGTAGATGTCTTTCGGCTATGGTTTAGTAATGAGGTGCTTAAAGGGACCCTGTGCTGAGGAGACGTGTAGGCTGCTGCAGACCTCTCCTGAAAATGCTGTTTGCCAGGTTATTCCAGGCAATTCAGCACATTCTATGCCATTTAACACCCCGGTCACATCGAGTGCGACTTGCAAATCGTATGCCAAGTCACACCCTATTATCCGCAATTACAGCGGTCAAATCGGTGCGGTTCCGACTTGGTCGGAGCCGCACAGATTTCTAACGTAGTACATGTACTTTTTTTGGTGCGATTTGCATAGACATCTGTGGCAGATGTCTTACAAATCACACCTGAAATCGGCAGGTCACCCGACTTTGAAATCGTGCGACTTCACTGTAAGTCGCACAATTTCAAAGTGTAACTTGATGTAACTAGGGGGTAACTGGAACAAATATGGAGATTGGGAGTTCTGACAACACTGAATTTATAATCTGCATGTTAGTTTGTCAGTGACTTAACCACGTTTACATTGTCTTTGGTTGTGTGTTTTTTTTTTTTTTTTTTTTTAACGCTTGAGCATCTTTTCTACTGTAATAGGAAACAAAAGTACTTCCAAAATGGTGCCTTGATCTGGGATGACATGACCACAGATGGACGATATGTCAGCAAGAATTGCCACCCCTTACGTGTAAGGAAATATTACAAAGATGTCTGATTTTTTTTTTTCTTTTACTGTTTACTCTAGTGGCTAGGTGGAAAATCTTGGTGTATTCAGTAGCATTTGTGAAAGCGGTATTAAAGCGGTTGTAAAGGTTCTTTACCCTCATGCATTCTATGCACAAAGGTAAAAAACCTCTGTGCAGCATCGGGGCCGGTACTCAGATCTTATCGGCCGTGTCCGAGGTACACAACCAGTGACAGATCGCGGCTCTGCGGGCATGCACACTGCGCATGCCTGAAAGGACGCCATATGGCATTCACCCGAAGGGACGAGGGGTTTTGCAGGCCGCCATCTGGCTATAGGCTGGGCGGGAACCTGCTTAATGTGTTAATAAACCCAGGACCCTGCATCCACTCTGTCTGGTCTCCCACAGAATATGGAAGTGCAATTATTTTAGTAAATATAAACTGCTAAATACCTTTTTATCATCAGAAGTTCGAGCAGTCTTGTGTCCAGCCCAGCACTAGCTAAAGCTTGTAGGCGTTTTCTTTCTGCTCTAGGAAAATGCAAAATCCCTGACCTCTGCCTGGACAGTGCTGATTGGCCCTGTGCTGATCACATGCACTCTTCCCAAGAAAAAAAAAAAACCCTCTTTAGCAATACACACCAAACTGAGCATGTGAATGCCTACAGTTCAGTCTGTCTTAGGAGATAAGAGGTGGTTGTGAAAAAGGGGAGGAACAGAGCAGTCAGCATCAAAGGGCCTTTTTACACAATGCAGAGGATTAACCCCTTAGGTTCCACAAGGAGTATAACAAGCATGCTTTACTGCATATACAGACTGATTTCACTGTTGTGGGTTTAGTAACACTTTAAATGTGGTGGCTACATTAGGAAAAGAAGCCAAAAACTACAACTTTTTCACAGGTGACCCAGCCAATAACATGCTTCCTGTCTTAGGGTGTCTCTTCTTTTGGATGAAGGAGCGACAGGGACAGCATTGGCAGCGCATCTAACACTACACTCTGCCCAGACTAACAGATTTAAGCTGGCCATAAAGTACAAAAGTTTGTTTTGAAAAATGTAATTACACTCAGTACTTCAAAGTTTTTTTTATTTTCTTTTATCTTCCATTTTAGGTATGAACACAAAAAAAACACATACACTTTTAGAATTTCATTCAAAATGTTCTATCCTGCTTCAAATTTTCTTGTTCCTACAGTCAAATGATCATCCATTCAGATCACACTGCTGAAAAGAAATCTTCTGAAAAAAGAAATTCTACTAGTGTGTTGCCAGCATTAGTAGGACTTAACTGAAAAGCTAAAGCTGAGCTCCAGAAAACATTTTTAAAGCAGTTACCTATATGAGAGCCAGACACAAGGGGATTTTTAACTTTCAGCTATGGTTTCTATCATTTTGTGTTTGCATAAAATGTGTATATATTGTTATGAGCAGTTTCACTTCCTTTTTTGTATATAGTATATTGCTCTGACATTTATTTTAGGGAGATATTGGGGGTCTAATACACCCCAACATCTCCCCTGCCCTCCAAAGCATCTAACTGACCATCCCCTCATTTTCTGGTGCTCAGGAGGCACAGGGGCAACAAACAGCCTTGCAGACAGCAGCTTGTCAACATTTTTTGCAGGCTGAAATAAGTGGTGGTCGAATGCAGTATTGAGCGGTATTTTTGTTCAGAGCTGTATGAACACAGAGGGTCCTAAAATGTGAGTACCATTGAGTACAGGGCCCAGCCTACACATATTGCAACCTGACATAGACCTTGGCAGGCTGATGGCAGCCTAGATGCTGTACTTGTGCCCCCGAGTGCTCAGACCCTGTTATTTGACACACAGGTTCAAAACCGCCTGTGTGCAAGTAAGCTAAACCCCTACTTTTCTCCCTTTCTCCATGGGTTTATACTCTCATACACTTTGTTCATGCTTGTGAAATTGTTAATTTGTTTGGATTATTTGTTGTAGACTTACAAGACTAAAGATTCACCTGAGCATGCTGACTGAGTTTTTTGACCTTCTCCATAAGATGTTGGACTACAGCTCCACACTGAGGATTTCAGTGAGCGAGGCCCTTAGGCATCCTTTCTTCAGCCACCTGAACCCTGAACAAAAGACTCTAGGAAGCAGAACTTCTAGGGACCTGAGTCGATAGGAATACATGGCACTTGAATTCCCCCACTTCCTGCCATTCCATAAGATCCTCAAACCACCAAAGCAAAGATCATATTCTATAGGGGTGAACTTGCAGTACTGCATGTTGGATTTGTAAGCAAAGCTAAGACTTGTAAATAACATCGCACATTGCTGGCATGTTATTTAAATTAAGACTGTCCAATGCCTTATTGTCACTATTGCACATGGGAACTCTACTAGTGAAACAGGAGCCATTGCCAACTGTTGAAACATCTTTACTGCTGAGTGGATAATCACTGTAGCTAAGAAGACCAAATGAATTTCCCTTCCCATTCTGAAGATGCAAAGTATTGTGAACACAGGAAAGCATACAGGATCTATGTAAAATTCCTTATTTACTACTATGTATACATTTGCAAACTCAGGGATACATAGGGAGGGTGAAATATTCTTCAATAGTGCACATCGATATATGTCGACCACAACAGCAGGGTTATAATCAGAGATGGCATGAACTCTTGCCTTGTATACTTGGCTCACTGTTGCACATGTAGCATGGATGGGAGGGATGTTGACTATTTTTGTATATGAGCTGTTTAAAAATAAATTTTGAATGGTCGTAATTTTATATTTTTTTCTTCTGTTGGAACTATGTAAAGTTTGCAGTGGTTGACCAGCTTCATTTTTTTTTTTTTTTTTAAATTATATCTTTGAGTATTCTCTTTTTTCCCCATTCCAATTTAAAAACATACTTTCATCATTATCACATGGGAAATACACCCATTCCCCTATGTTCCCCCGCCCTCCCTCTAAATTCCACCACACCCCCCAGTTCCCCCCCCGTCCATGTTATTCTGTCCAGATCTTCCCATCCTTTCCTATACATCACTATATCTCTTTACTTAAATCCTCCCTCCTGTAATTTTCTTAATCTTCAGTTCAATTCTCTTACATCAATCCAACTGAGGCTCCCACCACATCCAGATATTTTTTAGATGTCTTAAAATCATACCAACTAACCCATCTTTTCTAAACTTTTCCATTTTATCTTCATCTATGTGGTATAGCTCTTACATCTTATTTATATAGTTAACTCTATCAATCCAGTCCCTCAATATTGGGGACTCCTGTACCTGCCAAAATTTGAGGATAAGTCCCTTGGCGGCACTGACTAAATGATATAATATATTTTTTTTTATTGTTTCACTGGTATTTCTGATCCATAGAACAGATATCCCCTTTCTGCATAGTAATCCACAAAATCTCTGGTATAAGTTGTATTATATCCTGTATTTTGGGACAATCCCACCATATATGTGCCATAGTTCCCTTCAGTCCACATCCCCTCCAACAACAACGGTGATACCTCTCCCCACAGTCTATGTGCCACATTCAGTATACAATACCATCTGGTTAAACATTTATAGTTCATTTCAACTGAGCTCATGTTTATTGCCCTGTGTATCAGTTTGTACATTCTGCTGTTCACTTATTTTCATTCCTAACTCCCTTTCCCATTTTTTTAAGAACAGCGGAGGGCCTGCTCCCATCAATTCGATAAGAATCTTCTATATCTTCAAAGTAATTAATATGCTTTGGAGCTCTATCAGGGCTTAGCATTTTCTCAAATGGGAGCATATCCTCCGGCATCCTCACAGGCTGGGGAAGTGTTTAAAATAAAATGCCTTAATTGTTAATACTTCATTACATCTAGTACAACAAATAAGTATTTTTTCCTTTTTAAATCCTGAAAAGTGTACAACTCCTTATTTACTATGTCCCTTAACTGTGCATCTTCATTTTTGAACCAATTCCCTGAAATATTGTCATTCCCTGGTGGGAAAAACTCCATCCCCACCAACGGAATCAATTAAGAATTATACTTCCACTCCATATGCTTGTGTATTCCATCCCACACTCTCAAAACCTCCCGTGTCAACGTGCTAAAAGTGTCCTCCATAGTGCAAAACTTTCATGGTATCCAAATAATCTTCTCAAGACGTGCGTTACTTAAAATACCTTCCATTTTAACCTAACTTTTCTCCAGTGAATTATAAGTCTAATCTACTACTCGTCACATCACTGCAATATAATATGTCCTAATATTAGGAAAATTTATTCCCCCTTTCCTTTTATTGTTACACAAAACTTCATATTTAATTCTCGGGATTCTTATTAGCCCAGATATATTTAAGTATTAAATTTTTTTATTATCCCAAAAAAAGGATCCCGGTATATAAAGTGAGCATATGAAATGTATACAGGATTTTGGGGACTATCACCATCTTAACCAGATTTATACAGCCAATCCAAGAGACCCTGCCACTTGAAATTCTTCTCAGCTCTTCTACTTCATTTATTAATGGCATGTAATTTGTCTGATATATATTTTTTATTGAGGGGTTAACTTTATTCTCAAGTAACCTAATTCCTTCTCCCTCCATGTAAATAGAAAGACCTTTTGTAGGGTCTGCTTTTCTTTCTTTGAAATGTTAACATTCAAAATCTCTGACTTTGTGGGGTTTATTTTCAGGTTTGAGAGCTCCACCATATTGTTTTAACAGTCCCATTAGATTGGGTAACGTTAATCTGGGGTTCATGATATAAAACCGCATATCATCTGCGTACACTGCTACTTTATGATCTACATCTCCTATTTTAATTCCTCTAACATCTAAACTCTTTCTTACTGTCGCCAGTAGAGGTTCTAGGGATAAAACAAATAGCAGCGGGGATAGTGGACATCCCTTTCTTGTGCCATTTATACATTTTAAAAAACCCTGAAAGGGATCCATTTACCTTAACCGCCGCTGATGGACCATTTTAAAGCTCCTTTATCCACTTTATCATCCTAGTCCCTATTCCTAAAACCTCCAGCGTACTTATCGGAAATCCCCAATC